TTCTTGGTACTTATTAGAACGTATTATAGTTATTTATTCTGTCTTTTATTTTATTTTGTGCTCATATAAATTTTATTTTTTTTAGGTGTCGATTATTGCTTATCCATACTTACAGCAGGCTACACCCATGAGAAAGTGAATAAAAAAATTTAAAATAATATTACAAAGCTATGAAAGTGCATACGTAGCAGCAATAAAAAATGGGTATCCAAAAGCAAAGACAATGCCCACATTGGACTGAGCCAGGATTAACAACAACAATAAATCGAGAAAATATCAAAAAAGTTATGAATGCAGTGACAAAAGCGATTGAGGAGTGTTTTATTCCAACATAACCAATGAAGGCAAGGAAAGTGGAGCTGCCCTAAATACTCGTATCAAAAACCGTAAAAGCGATAGACAGTCTTGAAGAATACAATACAATTTGGAGGAAAACAATATTATGAAAATTTCTATGATGTCTAAAATTATCTAAGCGTATATGTATTTGTACAACTCCCTGTGCGCATGAACACGAACGCCCAATTAAGGCAACTCTAACTATCGAAACGAAGGGCAAACCATTCAATGAGGCTAATAAATTATGCAGGCTTACAAAAAAAAAAAAGGACTCACCTGTTTACCGCGCACAATTTGCCGCTTAGGCAAGCGCTTAAAGACACACACGCACAAATATAAATATCCTATATAAATAAAATAATATGATTTCATGTCCCTTACTCGTAACGCAATGCCTAAAATATCTACGAGTATTGAGGCTTTGGATGTGAATTCCTAAAAATTTTCAAGGGATACTAAATGCATTATAAAAAATTAGAAATTTCAGGCATAACCAATGCACTATTTAACTGCATTTGAATGACGACAAGTGTAAAAAGGTCAGCGAGCAAACACATGTATGTAATTCCAAAACATTTCAGTCTATAAAAAGGTGAAGGAGCAATTTTTATTTGTGTTAAATGGGCAGTCACCAAAGGCGCTCACAATGAATAGAAAAGTGAAAAAAGACTGATTTGATGTGAACAATTTGAAAACGTGTTATTTTATGGATTATTAAAAGGCATAGAATTATTTGGTTAGCATTTGAGATGAGCGTGCATTACGGACTAAGCAAGTCGGCATCGTGTTTTTCCCTCTAGCGGCTGTTCGCATTTAAGGGTACTTATTAGCCATAATTTATAAGTTAATAAAATTTGAGATTTATAATAGTTGGGTTTGTAAATTCCATGTGTTAGCGTATGTGTAGGTGGATTTATTACACACAGACATACATATATGAATACATATTTGGAAGAAGGAAAAAAAATACTTTGAACTAGATTCAAATACGAGGAATCGTTTTTGGGTTAAATACAATATCGTTGGCTGTTGAACTCTTAAATATTTCAGGTGCGAAATTTTATAGACAACTGCTCAGAGTTGCCGACATGGAGAAATGAGTTATTGATTAAAAAAATTTAATGAAATTAGCTTTTAATATAGCTTCTTAGATTGAACTACTCTTTATAACCCAAAAACATGAAATTGGATTCCATATAGCGTCTGAAAGAGAAACCTATTGGGAGGTTCCAACCAGCCCATTTTTAGTGTATTATTCACATAAACTCTAGTATGAGTAAAAATACAGTTTGGAACAGTAATCAAAACCGGTCGCTCCAGATCTTTTCTTGTTGCCATGTATTCGCACCAAAGTTCATTGTTGAAGGAACCTCCATCGTAAAAGTTCTTCAGACGCAAGGCAAAGCCACGAGTATACAGTTGAATATTTCGCCACCCCCTCCCTTTTTTAGGCTTGCACAAAATAAAATAAGGAAAGCATTTAAATCTCGTAAATTAAAAATTACAACAATGGGTATGCAAATACTATGAATTTATAGCACTGATGGGCACTGTCTTGCCCGCGGGCAAAGCTCTTTTTAGTTTCCTTTACATTTTGTATAGGCGCGTGCAGAGTAAAAGCTCTCTCTGCTCATCGCTGATTTATAGACCTTGTCAAAACTTTGCCGCATTTACATTTTGACAAGGCTTGACCATTTGTCTTATATATTTTAATAATNGTGCAGAGTAAAAGCTCTCTCTGCTCATCGCTGATTTATAGACCTTGTCATAACTTTGCCGCATTTACATTTTGACAAGGCTTGACCATTTGTCTTATATATTTTAATAAGATAATCTAAGCTTGAATCTCTGTGCAACGTTTTAAAAAATCAACAAACTTTCGTAAAAATTTCGAACTTTTTGTTCTCATTTTTAATAAATATTTTGAGTAAAATAAAATAAAATTAAATTAAATTAAATTTTATTAAACTTGCAGTAAAAGCAACTGATTTTTGGCATTTATTTTTTTTTTGATGACCATGTTAGCTATNACTTTCGTAAAAATTTCGAACTTTTTGTTCTCATTTTTAATAAATATTTTGAGTAAACAGTTTTTTAGCCCATTAAATTTTATTAAACTTGCAGTAAAAGTAACTGATTTTTGGCATTTATTTTTTTTTTTATGACCATGTTAGCTATTTTATTCCATACAAAACATTTTCGACGATTTTTTTTTTAATGGAGAAAATGAGCAACACCTTCGATGAAAAAAATTCCCAAAAATCAATGGTACTTGAAATTGGTCTATAAAACTGCATACTCAAAGTATTTCTAAAAAATCTAATTAAAAAGCTCGAAATTTTTACAAAGTTTGTTGATTTCTTTTTTAATTTGCACACAGATTGAAACTTGGATTTATATGGTTTCTGATAAAAATATACTATACCTTTAAAAACAATAATTAAAATTAAAAAATTTTAAAATAAATGGTGAAATCTTGCCAATATGTGAGTGTCGTAAAGTTATGATAAGAACTATATGTATGCATGTCGAATCAAACTTTTTGATACTACTTTTCATTTATTTCCTCGGCGAATGTAGAAAATTTCACATTCAACTGTGTAACCAGAAATTCGTAGGGGCAAAAATGCGTAGAAAAAGCGCTTGCCGCGTTAGTTACCGATATCGCTAAGGATTTATACTCTTTGGACACTGTCCTTCTATCCTTTGAAAAAAATAGAGATGTTTCTTAATATTTCATGTTTATTATTTGATATTTGCACTATAAAAGTTTTTGTGTATATTCGACTATCGGTAGGCAAAACCACATCTTGTAGGGGCACAATTATATTCAACAACTTTTATTGAGCTCTTGTCCGTTTTTATATGAAAAACTATTGTGGACAAGCAACAATAAGTTTTATTTTTTTGAAAAAATAACACAGTTATGGAATGCTTACTGCATAGCTGAATTGCCGAATATGTGACACCAACGTACCTAGAATCGCGGTTACAAGAAGTGGCTACATTTTTTCGTAATACAGTTTTCCGGTTACAGAATCATCGGTACCGTGCAGAATGGTAGGTCTATTTAATAAAAGGTTGTTTTCTAAGGGTTGTAATAATTCGCTTTTTAAATAATTATAAGCAAGGCTTTTTAAAGTNTCGGTACCGTGCAGAATGGTAGGTCTATTTAATAAAAGGTTGTTTTCTAAGGGTTGTTCGCTATTTAAATAATTATAAGCAAGGCTTTTTAAAGTAAAAAAAAAGCTCCTGAGCATTACATAAAAATTAAAATATTCATATATAAAGGAAAAACGTATACCCTCCTTTCTGTAAAACTGACCACATATGATATACCATTCTCTTCGGTACACGAATAAAAAAACCAAAGTCTCGCACCTGCAAACCAAATTTTAGCCTTGACCTTAAATGAATTTGATCCACTTGGCTGTTGATGAACAAAGCGCATTGAAAGCTTTCACTGCTCGACTGCTTGATTTTATTGATAACTTTGTAATACTGGTGGTTTGCTTTTTTTTTGTTGTATTGTGTACTACAAAGAAATTATCACCGCATTGCGGGCGGTATTTGTCCACTAGCGCTTTGACAATTGAATTTTCACCCACCGCGCTTATTGCGGATTAGTGTGACGGAGGTCGCCCCACCAACTCCAACTGTCCAAGNACTGCTTGATTTTATTGATAACTTTGTAATACTGGTGGTTTGCTTTTTTTAGTTGTATTGTGTACTACAAAGAAATTATCACTGCATTGCGGGCGGTATTTGTCCACTAGCGCTTTGACAATTGAATTTTCACCCACCGCGCTTATTGCGGATTAGCGTGACGGAGGCCGCCACGCCAACTCCAGCTGGCCAACTATACAACTGACCAGGCGACGATGCTACCAGTCGGGTGCAGTACATAGTACCACCTACTGCTGCTGATTTTCTTTTTGTTAACATTTTTTTCTCCTCTCGCTCTTCTTTCGCTTTGCTGTCCCGCTGACTCGCGTGAAGATCAATACCATTTGACGACAATAATCGAAAAGTTTCACACTTCCAGCTTAACGAAATAAATATGACAAAAGTCACAATGGATTGTTGGTAGGTATTTCTCGCTCATTTGTTTTTTGTTGTTCTTGTTGTTATTATTGTCACTACACTGTGGTTATGCCGGCATGTTGTTTTTGTTAATGTTTTTTACGCTGTCATTTTTACTTTGACTTTTCAACTCAACGCTATGCTATGCTCAGGTGGGATTCCACGCGAAAAGCGCCAACGGTGGCTTAGTGTCGTAGCATGGAGGATGGGGGTATGCACGTACATACATATGTATGTACATATTTAACTCCTGCTAATGTAGTTGTTGTGTTTGCTTCATTCACCACTTGCGGCTTTTGCTTTTGTCAACATTTTCTCACTCGACTTTTAATGACGTCTGCCACTGGTGTTGCTGTATTGTACTTAATTGTTGTTGTTGTTGTTATTGTTGTTGATGTAGCTTTAGCTGTGGCATGTAATTTAATACTAATTTATGCCTTTTTAAGTATGTTTAAGCGGATGAAAAGTTTTCGAACAAAAGTAAGCGCATACATATATGAGAGTACATACATACATATATGTATACATATGTGCATAAATAAACGTTTTTGTTGTGGCTGGAAAATCATAAATGTTGGCAGAACAGATAACAAACAGATAATTGAGTACTAGCGGCGATGCATTTGTAATTTTACTTTTTTACTAAATTAATAAAGACTTACATGCATACGATTCATACAGAAAAATCGTCACCAACCGTACATAACAGATTTAAAATTTCACAGGGCAAGCACGAAACTAAAGCCCTAAATCGTTTATAAAATATCTCGAAAAGAATAGACATAGGTACGTATACTTTAAGAGTTATTTTTTTTTTTAAATACCCGTATTTTCTTGTTTTGCTTATTTTGCCAAACAAAACAATCAAATTAAAACTGAAACATTTGGTTGCACTTAGCATGAACGGATTCAAAAATTTCCAGTGTTTTAACTACTTTTTTATTACCAACTTATTCACCCCAACTTCCTAATCTCCGCAATTTTCACCTCCCTCAATTTGTTGTCATTTTGTTTACACTCACTTAATTATGCAATTTCCCCTTGCGCGCTAACCTCTTTTATAAAATCCCAGCAGATTTGCTCACTTTTCATACACAATTTAACAATTTATAACAATTTAACGGCCATTTAACAATCTTCCCCATCCACCATACTCCCCTTCTCATGTTGGTTGGCATACTGCATCGCTGTTGTCAAATCAAATTAACCGCTTGACAGGCATGTATGTAGTATGTATTCGTAAATACTCCCCTCTCATACACATATTGCCACACTTCTTTACCCTCTCTCCTTGTAAATTTACGTCAAATGACTTGTACTACATTTAAGAGCGCGTAACAAATTCATTTATTACGGTATTTAAGTGTAACCAAAATAAAACATTGACAAGCACAATTTTATAATGTGTATTGTTGTTGTTGTTATTTTAGTAATGCACATGTTTGACCCAAATTTAATGACATTTAGGATTATGAGGGTTAACTTGGTTGGCAGATATGTTTGTATATATGTATACTCATATGTAAGTTTGAATATGTATGTGCGTTTAATGTCAAATGTCAGTATTGGTAGAGCAAGTATGCAACGAAATTTTGTGGTGCGGCCTGCCCCCTTTGGGGAAAATATACATAAGTTTAGGTGTATGTATGCATGTATGTATAAAATAAGCCCAATTTGTATGCACGATTCTTTGGTATTCAGCGATTTATAGATGCTTAATATTTTTTGTGGGTTTTCTCTCTGATAAAGTTGCAAAGATCAACATTTATTAAAATATTTCTTTTGTCAATGTGGTGATCTCCGAAATATGGAAAAAACAATTCAATCCTTCCCTATACATATTCAGACTTACTTTAGAGTCAATAAAAGGTCTCAGAATTCTGAGGTGTAACCTCAAAAAAGAAACAGAAAAGAGCATATTTCCCTTCTTAGGAGGGCCCGCCAATACGAGTCCAAGTTAGAGGTCACAGTAGCGTCGGAAATATAGCGCTTTTCGGAGTCTTAAAAACAAATATTCTTTATAATTCTGATTATTACTTTACTTTTTTTTTGTTACTTTTGTCCAACTCCAAATCTATCCAAAAGAGTCCGAAATGAGTCAGTCTGGTTGACTGGTCTCAGAATTATATTTACAACGAAAGGAAGACTTAATTTAGACTTATAAAATCTGAGCACTCAGAAATTGTTTAAAGCAGGCGTGCTCATCCAGTAGCACGATTGGCTGAGTTGGCTTACAACAACATCACTGTGGCTCACTTTGGCGCATTACGCAAGTAACGAGAAAAATAACATCGAACACGAACAAATCAGTTGGATTTGTGGGGCGTTAGAGGCCAGGATGTCCAGATTGTTAAAAAAGCGAAATTTGTGAAAAAATCGCCAAAAATTATTAATTAAATTATCAATTAAAAAAATTATTAAATAAAATTCATGAAATCGATTTAACAAATCTTTTATTTAAAAAAAAAAATTAGATCTATTTATAATGTAGTTTTTAAAACCAAAAACGAATATAATACCTTTAGAGGGTAATAATAGATAACACAAATCACTTATATCATAGTGATGTACAAACAATTTTCTTTAAAAATATAATAACGCGAGATCAGCTATTTCCACAATTTCGTCAAAATCACCTACATATATTGTCTGAATCATCTACATTTCTGTTGTGGTCACATATAGAGCTATTCAACCTTGATAAGATACTGTTTGATATATTTCCAGCAGAAACTATCAGCATTCATATAACACTTTATTCGAACTATTCAATTAAGGCTTTCCAACCTCATCCTATTTCGAATATTAGTTTTTGTTGAACTCATTACGGAAAAACGCGCTCAACAAAGCATGTGACTGCGAAAAGGATAATATTTAATATGAATTTACTTATATTTCCAAACATTTTATTGCCTGTTACAGTTTTCACTCCGTAAGCAATTATCCCAAATTCTTCAGAGTCAGATGGAATGGTTCTGAGAAAAGTTATTCCATGGGAAAGTTAAATGATTTAAATATTCAGTTTCTGCTGCTTTTCTTTCCTTCAAAGTCAAATAGTGAATTGGCAGGTCCCTGAAACTCGCCTTCTTGTGATTCACACACTTCTCTGGTGACAAAATCAAAGCTTTTTTAAAAGTATTTAATTGACTAGGTAATCGTTTCAAAAGTTCTTCGATTAGGTTGATTAAACATTTTTGACAGTCTATTAATATGCTTCTTAAGTCAAGTTTATCACGCAGTTTATTAGCCTCTTCTGTAAAATTATCATGGAAAACTAAGTTTTGTAGATTTTTATAATTGGAAAAAATTTTTTTGAAGGGAAATTAAAAATACCTTGTTTCGAAAGGTTTAAAGGTGCTTGTTTTATTTATTCTTTTTTAACCGACTTCAAAAAAATGAGAAGGTTCTCAATTCGTCGGAATATTTTATTTTTATTTTTTTGTATGTTACCGCATAACTTTGGACCACGTCAACCCATTTGGATATTTCTTTTTGCATTGGGAAGGCAGTGTCTTCCATATTAATCTGGTTTAGATCGGATCGTTGGATAATGGAAAAATAACGGTACTCCAAAATTTGTATATGAGAATTGAATTCGGTTTGGTTTTTTGCTTAAAAATTACTTGTTTTTTATAAAAATCTTTTGTATGAAAAAATGAGCAGGAAAGAAAGTTACTCATACGCCACGTACACCTGAGGAACACGCTTTTTTCTGCTCATATTTCATACAAAAAATCTTTGCGTATATTCATTTGACCACTCATTACTTCTTTATTTATCTCTCGATTTCCTTCATTGATTGTTTTTGTAACAGAACAGGAACACAAATGCAAAAATTTGGCACAGAACCTGTTACTTTTTTAATTTTTCTCCTGTAAAAGTTTGATTTATTTTAAGTTTTTCATTAAAAAATAAAAAATCCAAAAACTGGAATGTTTAATTAATTTGTCAGAAACTATCAGTCCTATCGGAAAGTAACATATACATCGTTTATGGAGAATTTTATTAGCTTTGATTTGACATACATATCTCATTTTATGATTGTTAAGTTGGTTCGTAAGATATACGTGATTAAGTGGAACCACTTTTTGTTTTAAGCTGAATAACGGTAAATTGCAAATATCTCGAAAACATATCTATAAAAAAAAATAACTTGATTTTCGAAATCAACGAGCAATTCTACATAGAAATTGGATAGTGGCGTCTGGAGAGCAAAAACCAAAAAAACATTTGTAATCCGTTGTAATTAATGGCTTTTTTCATTGCCCTTTCCTTATTAGGTATTTGTAGGTTGAGGCCACTTAGAAGGCAACATTTTTCGACAGAAAAGAAAACGCCATAAGTCAATGAATAAAAAGCTGATTTTGTTAATATGGCAAGACTACTCTTAGTGAAATTTTGTAAATCTATATAACTCTAAAACTAATTATTTAATCTTAATTTTAACAAGTTTGTGCGAAAAAATTTGTCGAGCTCTTTAAAACGGTGTGCAGCATAATATGGTGCAGCTTCTCGAAGTAATAATATAGAACAAGATTTATTTGAAAATTCCATTTTCCTGTTCGAAAATTTGCAAAATTTACATTGTCAAAGTCATGTTGTGTTTGAAAAAATTAAGTTTAAATAAATAAAGACCCATGGTAATTTTCATTTGTTTAAAAATCATCTGCATTTAGGTTAGAGCAACATCTAAAATGTTTTTTCTCTGGCAAACCCGTTAAAAACCGCTAAATCTCGTTTTTGCTATAACTTTCTTATTCTATATCCGATTTTTAAACTTTTTGTTGTAATTAGCCCTTAAAAGGTTTTGATCTTAAAGCCCATTTTGATTTATACTAATTTGGAAATAATATCCATAGTTTCTTAATTTTTGTGCTAGAAATCTAAAGCTCTCAAAACATGATGAGGACTTTATTAAAAAAGTGTGAGGCCTTATTTAACATACATATGGAAATACATATGTAAATATGTACATTAGGGCGAAATAATTTGTTTGGCGCAAAATTTTCGAAGAAAGTGTATAGCAAATTCAAATTTTACGATTAATTTTAAGCAAAAATGGCGAACCAACTATGACGTTTGACCCTCCAAATTTTCAAAAGAAAAACAGTATGTATATTACATGAAGAAAACACAAAATTGTGTAAATGAAAAATTAATTTATCTCAAAAAAAATTATAATAAACCGATTTTTCTTTTAAAAAATTTGGAGGGTTAAACGTCATTTTTGGAATATAGTTTTTTTACGATTTTTGCTTAGAATCGAACGTGGGAATTTGAATATACCATACACATTTTTCGAAATTAAATTACTCCGCCCTAATGCACATATGTATTTAAAAATTATTTAAATTTACCTATCCAACATTAATATTTAAGTTTGAGTAAAAAACCAGTGAGTATATATACACATATTTTTGTAATTTTATATTACTTAAAACGCCGCTTCCGCTTGCTGGTCTAAGGATTTACATACATACATAAATAGATACTTTCATATGTAGATACATATGTAAGTGTGTGTAACGATATGTATATTTTGTGCCAGAAAGTGCAAATAAATTATGTATTTGCCTGGCGAAATTCCATTGAATTGCATGTGTAGTGTAAAAAAGTAATTTTCCTGACATTTTCGCCATTTATAAAATGTCAATTTCAGCCGCATTGCTTGTATTTGCCTTTGTTGTGCGCACATTTTCATGTATAGCCAAAAAAGCATTTACCTACATACAGACAGACACACTTACATATATATGTATATATATGTATGTATGCGCAAGGTATACATACCTAGGCACATATAGACAAAAAATTTATACCATTAAAAAGTAATAAAGTCAAAGCGGTGGGCATAGATAAAACCTTGAGGAAAATGTGCAAAAACGAATTTCTTTCAAATTTCAAGAAAATATTCACCACAACCAGCCCACATTTTTGGGCTTGCTTTATGAAGGTGTTCCCTTTTCATTATTTTTGTTGGCAGAGTTTTCATGCGCTAAACGGCAATTCAGGCCAAATGTGCTGACTTTGTAAAATGGCGTCAAACTCAGTGCCTGAAATCGAGCGCAAGAAAACTTTAATGTGCCATGACATCAAAAAAAGGAAGAAGAGAAAAGTACTTAGAAGATGGAGCTCAACGTTTAAATCTCATTTGAGGCTGTAAATCGACAATCTTATTTGAATATTTCAATAAAGTAAATCCAACAGCGGAAAAGTAGTGCGTCTGTCGGCAGCAAGAGAATAGCAAAAAGAATGTATGTAGTAATATTTAGTAAAAAATAAGGGAGGCAAAGCAGCAAGGCTAGAACTGAAAGAAGTGATTTTTGTGGCAAAGCGAAATGTATTGTTGGCGTCATGCCTCAAAAAAGGGCTCTATGCTATGTAAATAAAGGCGCACATATTTAATAATACTTGGGTGTTTCTCAGTGTAGTATGTATGTATGTTTGGCTATGTGGCATTGTATTACGCGTTTATCTAAGAACGTACATAACTATGAATGTATTTACGTAACTACCTAACGCAGGCGATGGTAAAATGTCGAAATATTCAGCAGCCGCAATTCGGCGCACTTTTTTTGCCGCTTTGGCAGTTGGCCAGGCAAGCCCATTTGGCCCGCATAAAATGTCGCAACAAAAACGTCACACCCCCTAACCGACGCCAATTCGCCTGTGAATATAGACATGCGCTTAGAATACGCATGCGCAAAGCGTTATTTTTTTAAGCGAATGCGATATTTATCATTTATAGAAACTATTACGCATAGCAATAATATTTTAATTTTATGATAAAAAAAAACATTTATTTTTGCTTTTTTACTTTTGGCAACATTACGGACGCGCAGTTTTTCACTGATTGTAGCACATTTGGCAACTCTGGCATAAGTACATATGTACGTACAATTATAAAGGCAGAATGTTTTACTTTCAACGCGCCATAATGTTAAATGCGAAATAATAATGTTGAACGCATGCCGTATGGAGGCTGGGCGGAGAAGAGAGCAGTGTGAAATGGGAAGGTGGTGGTGTGCTGCTGTGTTTGTCGATGTTTGTGCGCTGGGGTGGTGGCAACATTTTCGGGGGTTAAATTTTCATTTCATTGCGAGCTTATGCTGAGTATGAGCTGCTGACACGCAGGGGCGTATACGGAATCACAAGCGCACATGCAAGCGTACAACTGCAAGTAAGCGCAGATGGAGGAAATTGTACAGCTTTGCCTCTGTGCTCCCCTTCCCTCTTCGTTCACTACAATATTTACGCCAGTACGCCGGCCTGTCAACGGCAGACTTCGACATTGGAGCTTCTGTAGAAAATGAACATTTCAGCCGACAATTTGTGCGTGCGTATCAAAGTATGTTTGTATGTATATATGTACGCATATGTTGTGCTATGTCTGTGTCACAGGAACAATATGTTTTTTTTTCTCCTTATTACACAACAAAAAAGAGCTTTCATGTATCTACATATGTACATATTCGCATACAGCTGGGTGGCGCCTTATGCCAGGGTTGTTATTTTTGTCCGGTTTGTGTGTGTTTATGGATTTGATGTGGTAGTAGCAAAAACGCTGGTAATAATGTTGTTGATGTTTGTGCTAAGATTGACTTTGTTTTGATAATCGTTTATAGGCTTTTGCAAAAACACATTGACGCATACTAAAGTGATTTTCCGACAATTTATTGAGCTGAGAAAAAATGTGACGTGAGAGGAAAAACATTTTTCGGAATTTTCGAAAAATATAATGGTACGCTTAATTGTCCCCCGGTTAATTGATTTCCCCGCCTATTTGAATTAACTTATCGGTAAAACAAATATTGCATAAAAAATCCATGTACAGTTTTCCGCATAATTGAACCCGGTTGATTGGTTTCCCCGTATAAATGGTTAAACCATGTGACATTGAAAAGAGATATACCTTCAATATCCCCGGTTAACTGTTCCTTACGTTTATTTTATTTTTTTATAACAATTATATCTAAAAATGCGAGGACAAGTACATATATATACTTACTTACATATGTATGTATATATACTTACGTATGAACAATAATAAATATAAGTTGTCTTTATTGCTTATATTTTTTCAATTAAAGTTTAAACTATATAAATATCATTTAATTTAAAATGCACATATTCAACAATTTTAATACTTTAATTATAGGTATGTACATACAGTATCGGTCATATCTATAGCACGCCATTTCCAAGTGATATTTTGTACCCCTTATGTTTATTTATTTATTTTTAAGAATTTTCAATTAAAATTTAGTTCATTCTCAGACAAACCCCGTATATACCCAAGTTCAACAATTTGTAGAAAACTACAAAAAAGTGTAACAAATTTTCACCTAAATTTTAAACTTTTTTCTCGGAAGTGTTACAATTTTTTCGAGTACACAGTTTTTTAGCCCCTTCAATTTTAGTCTGATAACGTGCCAATTTGAAGTGGCTACGAATTACCGTTAATTTTATCGATTTTTTTT